GCTGGCCTCGAACTCACAGAGATCCGCCTGGCTCTGCCTCCCGAGTGCTGGGATTAAAGGCGTGCGCCACCAACGCCCGGCTCTTTTGTCACTTTTTATTATGAATTAAAAATCCTCTTTTCAGCAAAACAATATATGCTAGAACTATAATTTAATCTTGGATTAGAATTTAAATAACTTAATATTAAACACTGTTGTTTCAAAATTACATTCATTCTCATTTTGGGCTTTTAGATAAAGTTATTATTCTATTTGAGTTGCCAGTTACCTCAAGACAATCTTAACTTATCTTCATTTATTTTTGTTGTATAAAAGGAAAATGCAAGTTGTTTGTGGTAGCTCATACCTGCATTCCCTGTACTGGTGAGGATGAAGCAGGAGGATCATAAGTTCAAAGCCAGCCTGAGTAATTTAGTGAAATGCTATCACAAAATAAAAAGCTGAAAGCTGAAGGAGGGTTTTGTGTGTGTGTGTGTGTGTGTGTGTGTGTGTGTGTGTGTGTGTGTGTGTGTTTGTGTGTATGGGGGGGAACACTTCCCTATTGTGTGTGAGGCTCTGTTCAATCCCAGTATAAACAAAAACTGATATAATGCCATTCAAAAATAAAGCTAAGAGTTCAAAAGCAAAATATTTTTTAAAATCGTAGTGTATCTATTCGCTAGTGTATCCATTTGGTCATGTATACATTTCCAAAGCCACAAGTGTTCTGAAATGCGTTTTCACATACTAGTTGTTCTTCTTGGCACAACTCACCTAAACTGGTGGATAGATCTCCTGAACCCGTTATTTGCCTTAATTTCTGAGATTTTCCCCCCATCTGTAGGATTTTGGGCGGACAAGGAAGAGCTCCAGAGGCTGCGGCAGAGCGAAATGGTTTTCAAGCCCCAGAAGAAGTGGCAGGAGTATGAAGTAAATATGGAGAACTGGGAGAAAGCCGTGAAACGCTCCATGAATTGGTATAACAAGACCTAACACTGAGGAGCCGACGAAAACCCCACACGACAGGCTGACAGACGGACAGATGGGAGCTCAGGATGGCCGACAGGACCCTGGCTGAGAGGAGACCATCCAAATGAGCCTCATGAGGAGAGAAGTGTTGCTCTTTTTAAAAACTCACCAAGAAAATTTCTTACTTTTTAAATCCAAATCTTAGTGACATTTTAAGGCAGCAACGATACCTCAAAATTGTGTCTTCTTTCTTCTAGCAACTTCCAAAGGACATTTCCACTCCCAACTGCATTTTGATAGTTATGAGTCCTGCTCTTTTTTATACAGGGTCAATGGCACATGGGTCATAGTTCCTCACCCTCAGAGAGCCATTACATGCTGTTAAAAGTTATGAAAATTTTTTCTTGTTTAAAATCAAGTGGACTATTTGAAATTCATATAGCTAAAAAAGGAATAATTGAGAAAACAAAACGCTTTTTTGTATAAAGCCATAATTTTTAAGTAACATATCCAAATCTGAGCTTTGTGCCACTCTGAAGTGAGCTCAGTGGTCAGCGCTTTCCTTCCTTGTGTGTAAAGACACTCCCTTAATTCTTCCTGCATAGCCTCTGTTATTGTTACTAAGGTATAGTGTCCCTGTATAGCCCAAGCTAGCTTGAAACTTCAGATTCTCCTGCCTCAGCCTCTCAGGTCCTGGAACTCTGCGTGTGCACCATGATGCCTAGGTGAGCACTCATCCATGGAGGAATGGATTTTAGTTAGTGGACTGAAAAGGCTGTTTGTGAATCCGGGACGTTAGAGGCTGAAGGCGGAGGAGCGTGAAGATGGAGGACTGTGAGCTTGAAGCCTGTCCGGACAATGTAGGGAGTTCTAGGCAGTCTGGGGGACATAGTGAGGTCCTGTCTTTAAAAAAACAAAAACAAAAACCTTCCATTTTATTTTGTTTGGAGAAACATCTGCTGTCTAACTCATGCTGGTTTCTAACTCTTGAGCCTTTTGCCTTAGTCTCCAGAGTAACATTCTATTTTTATAAAATGCAGGTAGTTAACATTCTTTCTAGTTCTTTATATTTCTCTATTTGTTGAAATGCTTACATAAATGTCCCTTTTTTAAAAGTGCCTACTCCTTGACAAAGTTTAAATTATTAATATTAGTTTTTTGTTGTTGTCTTTTTTGTTTTTGTTTTTGTTTTGGATTTTTCGAGACAGGGTTTCTCTGTGTAGCTTTGGAGCCTGTCCTGGAACTCACTGTGTAGCTCAGGCTGGCCTCGAACTCACAGAGATCCGCCTGCCTCTGCCTCCCCGGTGCTGGGATTAAAGGCGTGTGCCACCATTGCCCAGCGGCTTTTGTTTGTTGTCTGTTTTGTTTTGCAACTAGGTCTCATTATGTAACTCAGGCTGGCCTAAAACACCAGATCCTCTTGACTCGGTCTCCAGAGGTGCTAAGATTGTGGGAGTGTGCCATACCTGGCCTCAGAGTTTACTGTAAGTGCCCTAGTTTATTGGTAACTTAAGAATTGCTTTCCTGGGCTATTTATTGATGTATCTTTTGCTGTTTGTCTGTCCTGCTCACCTCTGAGAGTTAGCTGAGGCTGGCTGACAAGGTGATGGACCTTGTGCTTGATAATGATTGCCCTTACGGTACCACTGAGCCAGTCCCCCCCAAAGAACCCTTGTTGCTGGAAACAGTGTCAATGAACGTTGAGAGAAGCCTCCGGCTGGGTATAAAATTGTCATGGGGCAGTTGACAGTGCTCCAGCCTCTTCTGCGTCGCTTGCCCCTCTCTCCACTGGGGATTTGGAGTTTGAGAGTGAATGAACTTGTTCCCATCTTGGTCACTATCACAACCATTATAGAACTACCTACTACATAAATGTGTCACTAAAGGAGCAGCTGTTAAGAAGGAATGTTGCTGCTGCTATCATGTGTCCATTTGGGAGTCAGTTATACTAGAATGAATAGCTACGTTGTACTTTGTGCAAATTGTTTCCCTGGGCTCCCAGTGTCTTCAAATATTTAAAAAAAAAAGTTTCTTAAAGGAAACATTGTAGCAAACACATTGCATCATTAACTGCATTAACAGTTCCAGAGCCAAGGGGATGGCTCCGCAGGTACAGGCGCTTGTCATACAAGCTTGCCGACCTGAGCTCAGCCCCTGACCTTCCACCATGCAAAGGTGGAAGAAGAAAACCGACTCCAGAGTGTTCTTATGACCTCTACGTGTACATGGTGCTGTGCACACACTCTCCGTAATAACAATAAATAAAAACTCTAAAAAAGATTTGGAAGTAGGTTTTGTTAGAAGTATTTTTGTTTACTGTAACAAATCAGATCCTATGTAGATAGCTTACTCTTTTTCTCCTACAACGTTTTTACATAGCTTTGTGACCAGTTACAGGTTTTCCCATCAATCATGTGAAAGCTGCTTTATTTAAATATTTTATAGATTCTGCTGGTAGGTATGATTTCATGGGAAGTAATTTTGACCCTTTGTACTAGGATAGACTAAATTGTGATGTTAATTGCTAAAGGTTTATTTTCCATTTCTTCCCTACGCTCTTACCACTACAGAGAAGGATAAATATCCTTTAGATAATGTGAAAAACAACTAATATCTCATCCGAATTGAGCTTCTCTTGCAAGATCAGTTACTTTTTTTTTCCTTCTGTGGATCTAGAAGCTATTCTTTTGCTTTTTGGCTTTCTGACCATATTTTAGTGACAGAGCTTAATGATTCTTGTAAGATTTAAGTGAAAACAGAAATACTAGGTCATTTGTGGCTGTAGAGACAGTTGTTAATCAAAAACAATTGAAGAACATTGTCCAGTCATCTGCCTTTTGAAAGTGAAATATGCTAATACTTCTTAGCATATTTTCTTTTCCCATTGTAGACCTACCATGCATTTTAAGAGGTCTCCAGTCAATAAGGATGATGTAGCCCGTCTTAAAGCAGTACTAACTGCTTTATACTCTCACTTTCTGATCTTCAAATCTCTAGTATCCATCTGTGATTATGGTTTCTCAATGTCAGCATTGATCTTTGCTTTGTGTTTGTGACAAGGTCTCACCATATAGCCCTGGCTATCCTGGAACTCACCATGTAGACGAGGCTGTCCCCACACTCATAGAGCTCTGCTTGCTTGCCTCTGCCTCCTGAATTCTGGGATTAAAGGTGCATGCCACCACACCTTGCAACACTGACATTTTGAACTTCATCTGTCTTTGCTTTGTGATACTACACTGGACACATATGCTTGGCGGTGTCCTTGGCCTCCTGTGTTGAACATGGCTCCAAGTGCATGTCAACATGATCCACCCTGGGAGGTAAAAATCATTGTCAGTTGAGAGCCATGATCCGGGCCATTAGAAGAAAAATGAAGATTTGGTGACTGTAGTAACATTTCCAATGTTCTCTGCCCTGTTTTCTTGTAGGAAATGAACTTTTAACAACAATGGAAAAGTAGGGAGTATCCTAAAATACAGTTTCTATTTTGCTGGGTAATGAAGAAAAAGTTGTCTTCCGTTGTTTGTGTCCCTCACCTCTGTAGTGGGATCAAGCCTAGGGCCCTGAGCCTGACAGTCAACCCTTCGGCTACTGAGCTACACGCAGCCTATACTTCTAGTACTTAAGTAGCTCAGTCCTCTTCCTGTGTGGTCATAATTAGTGGACATTTGGCCTCGTGGTGTGAGCGATACATTCTGTAGATCATCTGTGATTTGATCTGTCCTCACCCCCATTTTTCCTACAGGATCTTACCCTGTGGTGCAGGTTGACCCGGAACTCATGGCCGTGTTCCTGCCTCAGCCTCCTGGGTGCTGATGTTACAGGCAGGAATCCCCAAGCCTGGCTTTGCTCCGCTTTCTTCTCTGAACAAGGAAAAGATCACTGTTCCAAACCTTCAGTAGATATGATGCTTCCTGACGCGGAAGCCATGTTTGCCCTCCACTGCCACCCCTCCCCAACTTAACACTGTGCCTTCTTGTTTATGGATGGACTCTTACTTTACATTTCTCTTTGATGTTACATTTATTGATAATATCTTATACTTGTTGGAAAGGAGGATATTTACAACTAGAGTCATGATGTTTATTGTAAAAAAAAAATCACATCTGTGTATTTTCAGATATTTTTGTAGAGATATACATCCGTAGATACACGTGGGTGTAGCAGCTTTTTTGTTGCTGGTCTGGGAACTGACCCTGGAGCCTGGTGCATGCTAAGCATGCCCAGCTACTTTTAACTTTTTCAGGTATAGTTGAAACTTTAATTCACAGGTTTTATATATTTGACTGCAGATAGTAACATTGTATTTTAAGAGTACCCAACACTCCAGGTGCTATAGGAAGGAACCTCAGAAGTAGCCCTAAAACAAAACATCCATACTGGGGACCAGTTTTTTTGTTTGGTTTGGTTTTAGTTTTTTGGTGTTGTTTCTTTGGTTTGATTATTTTTCGAGACAGGTTCTCCCTATGTAGCTCTCGCTATCTGGGAACTCACTATGTAGACCAGGCTGGCCTCAAAATCCCTAGCGCTGGGATTAAAGGCGTGTGCCACCACCGCCCAGCTCACTTGAACAATTAATTCTTAATCCTTTTAGGAAATTTAGATTGTGCTTTTTAAATAAGAATAAGAAGTCTCAGACACACCCTGAACTTTTAAGAGTCTCCTGTTAGGGAATCAAAAGCCCAAAAGAGCCTTCAGAATAGGATGATTCAGAACTTTTGTTATTCTGTTCTCAAAGCCTTTCTGCACTTTGCATTTTTTTTTCATATCTGGGTAACTATTGGGATTGCTTAGTTAAAAGTTCCTGATACAGGAACTTGAGCTTAAATGGTTTTTAGGTTGGGAGGTAGCTTATTTGGTAGAGCTCTGGTCTAGTGTGCACAGGGCCCTCCCTAGGTTTGATCCCCAGTACTGTAAAACGGAAAGAGAAGAATAGAGTCTTTATGCTGAGTGGCTGTCCCATTTTATGTTTCTGCCATCAGTGTGTGAGCGATCCGGTCTCTCCATGTTCTCTCACCAGCATTTGGTGATGTTATTTCCTGTGCCTTTTGCCATCTGCTCGCCATCATCTTTTAAATCTCTGTTCATAACTTTGTCCGTTTGCCAATTGAATTGTTTGCTAAATGAGCTGTGTCTTTAAAAACTTTTAAAAAAATGAAGTCAGACTTCAGAAGTCATTAAGTAGGATTTTTCAAGTCTTTTAAGGCAAAATGTTATGGCATCTTGAGCAATGTCTTATGATGTGCCTAGCAGAAGGGCTGTTACTTCTGTGCTTGTAGTGTGGGACTCACACTGTGAAAAAAAAAACAAGGTTTCCAAGGCAACGTTAGCTGTCCTGTAGTGTGTCCCAACACACACTTGGTGTAGAACCCTGTTTCAAACTCTGTGAAAAAAAGTATGACCTATGTAAAGGTTCAGAATGATTTTGTGGAAAATTAATTAGAAAAGATGAATAAATGTAGATTTGAATTCTCATGTATGTATCAGTGTCATGATTTTATTTCTCTGTTACTGCTATGTATGTTGGTTTTATTAAATGGTTATTGAGACTGTCATAAACCATTTTAAAGATCTTTAATAAAATTGAAGATGAACACAGCAATAGAAACACTTCATATGCATATGGTTTTTTTGTGTTTTTTTTTTTAAGACATCCTTGTTTGGTTGTTTGGTTGGTTTGGTTTGGTTGTTGCTGTTTTTCTGAGACAAAGTTTCTCTGTGTAGAAACCTTGAAGGCTGTTGTGGAACTCGGTCTGTAGACCAGGCTGGCCTTGAACTCTTTACCAACTGAGCTATCTCTCCAGAATATTTTTGATCTGTTTTAATGTACAGATTTAGTTTTTATTTCACTTGAACATTTTTATTGGACACTGTTCCCTACTCTGATTTCTGCACACTGAGAACAATCCCGGAAGGGGCTGTGCCTGTTGGCACAGCGCTTCCCTTGAATTCCTGGAGCTCTGGGCTCGCTCGCTCCCTCTCTCCAGTACCACATAGACTAGGTCTGGTATCACACACCTGGAATCCCATCATTTGTGAGGTGGGATCCGAAAGGCCAGGTGCTCAAGGCCAGCCTCTGCTACCTAGCAAGTCACAGAGTAACTAGGCGGGTAGCTCACTGGTAGAGCTCGGATTGCCTCACAGGGATGAAACCTGGGTTCAATTCCCATCACTGCCTAGAAGAACGAAAGGGAAGGAAAGAAGCCGGAGAAATAAGCATGTTCATTACAGCTGTCACTCAAGTTAAAATTCGTAGGTTCAGTTAGAAAAAAGAAGGTTGTTCTGTGGAACCTTGCTTCTCTGGATCCCAGTGTGTTTGCTCTTTGTTTTTGAGACTAGATCTCACTGTGTTGCCCAGGCTGGCCTCAAACTCATTATGAAGCCCAGGTTAGCACTGACCTTGTGGCATATCTGTGTTTTCCTCTCAGGTTCTAGGATTGTAGACAATGAGCCACCACACGTGGCTTTTTGGATATTCTTTATTTAATTTGAATTGTTTTTAAGATCTCACTACACAGCTTAGACTGGCCTCAAACTCATGGCAGTCCACATTGCCCAATCACCCAAGGGCTGGTACTGTAACCATGATCCACCCACTCGGCCTCTCAGGTCCTCTCTAGACTTCTTATTCTATAGTTACATTCTTACACAAAGGAAATTATCAGAGAAGATGATTTATTCTTTGGGACTGGAGATATTATGATATTGTGCAGGGGGTGGAGGTGGGGAGCCCAGCTGACTGGACCAGGGAGTCCCACACGTGAGGGAAGCATGCTGGGCAGATGGAGTGGTGGGCGTAGGCATGAATGGACAGTCACTCACCCCCAGGTGCTCATACACATGGAGAGAGTTTATTTGATAGAAAGATACAGAACGACAGAAAGAAGGGGGGGGCAAGGAGAAGGGTCAAGGAGTGCACCTCGTGGGAATGGAGAGAGAGCAGAAGAGAGAGAGGAAGGGGGGCTTTTCCTTAAAATGAAGCCTTTACATCAGGACACAGGGCAGCCCCAAGGGGTGGGTCAAAATACTAACATATAATTTGTTGTAAAGCTATACAAGCTTTTAAAATATTTAGAAAGATATATAAATAACTGAAAGATAATTTGATACATTAATATAATAGCCTTAGCCCTACAGAGCCTACAATCCTTTCTGAAAACTTTGAATTCTTTAGGAAACTACCATGAAACCATGAATGGGCGGCTGTTGTATAAATGCTGCTATAATAAAGTCACTTCAGTTGGGTGTCTCTCATTTGTTGCGTTGAACTTGCACACATAACTAGAGACAGCCTAATGGTGGACGATTCAGCCAGGTTATCTGGTGAGGTTCCTTAGGCAGAGTGGCTTCTCGCCTGTCTCTGAGTCCATGGTATCATTCCATAGAGCAGTGGTTCTCAGCCTTCCTAACACTGCAATCCTTAACACAGTTCTTCATGGTGTGGGGACCCCCAACCTTAAAATTATGAAAACTGTAATTTTGATACTCTTATGAATCACAAGGTAAATATCTGTTTTCTGACGGTCTTAGGTGACCCCTGTGAGGGTCATTTGACCCCCAAAGAGTCGAGCCCCACAGGTTGAGAACCGCCACTGTAGTGGGACATTCAGATAATGACAAACACTGAAATCTTTGAGGAAAGGAAGGGGTTTTGTTAGTGTGTTTTCAAAGTAATAGTCTAAAGAGGAGGATGAAGAACAAGGGCGTTATGGAGGTAGAAAGACATTATGTGGAGCTGATTTTTATCCTCAAGAATCATCTAGATTAGTTTGGCCTGTGAGGGAGTTTCTTCATTGAATTAATGGAAGTGGGAAGACTCATCCTCAAGGTGGGTGGCATCATTTCATGGGCGGGACCCTGAGCAGAATTAAAGGAGAGAGCAAGCTGAATGATAGCATAAGTGAATGAATTCATCACTCGCTATTGTATTTTTTTTTAAAGATTTATTTTTATTTATTGTATGTGTATGCCATATGTGTGCAAGGTGCTCTCAGAGGCCAGAAGAGGGGATCAGATCCCCGGGAACTGGAGTTACTGAGCAGCACAGTGTGGGTGCTGGGAACTCAGGTCATCTGGAGGAACAGAGAGCACCCCTCCCCCGGAGCCATCTCTACAGCTACTCCACTCTTGACGTAGCTGCCCTGTGGACCTGCCACCTTGATTTCCCCAAAATGACGCTCTGTAGCCTGGAATTGAGAGCCAAATAATCCCTTTCTCCCTGAGTTGCTTTTGTCAAGGGTTTCCCCCCTAATTTATTTAATTTTGTTTTTTTATGCATTGGTGTGAGGGTGTCAGATTCTCTGGAACTGGAGTTACAGACAGTTGTGAGCGACCATGGAGCTGCTGGGAATTGAACCCAGGTCCTCTGGAAGAGCAGTCAGTGCTCTTAACTGCTGAGCCACCTCTCCAGACCCTTGTCAAGTGTTTTATCAGCAAAAGGAAGTGAAACTAAGACATGCCCTGTGTAGAATCGCTTCTGGTTTAAAAAAAAAAAAAAAAAAGCATGAAAGACGCCCACTTTCATGCTTAAATATAGATGGATGGATGGATGGATGGATGGATGGATGGATGGATGGATGGATGGATAGGCTGGACATGGGGGTACATGACTTTAATCCCAACATTCGAGAAGCAGAGGCAGACAGATCCCCATGAGTTTGAGGCCAGCCTGGTCTAACATGGCAAGTTCCAGGACAGCCAGAGCTACATACTGAGACCCCATCTCAAAAAACAAAACAAAAAAATGTGTGTGTGTGTGTGTGTGTGTGTGTGTGTGTGTGTGTGTGTGTGTAGATATACCTAGCATATGTGAGTTCTTAGGCTTGATCTCCAGTATCACCACACACACACACACACACACACACACAGAGGCGTGCATGCAAACATACACAAAGAAAATATAAAAACTGATCTCAGATCTCAAAAATAACAAAGTCCTCTGATATTTAGATTGTATTTTATTATTTATCTATTTAAGATAGTCTTTAATAGTCAATGCATGACTTTGAACCCCTGATCTTCTCCCAAGTGCTGGGATTACTAGTGTGCTACCATGCATGGCAAAAAAGTCGTCTCTACAGCATTAGAGTTAGTGGGATGAGCTTGGCGTGCATGTCTGAACCCATTCTGGCCTTTTCACTGTGGTCAAATGGGAATGTGGTAGAGGGTTAACACTGCCGGGTAATTGTGGGCTAGGTGCCGGGTGGTGGTAATGGGCGGGTAATGGGGCTAGGCGCTGGGCGGTGGTGGTGGTACACACCTTCAATCCCAGCACTCTGGAGACAGAGGCAGGAGGATCTCTGTGAGTTCGTGGCCAGCCTGGGCTACAGAGTGAGTTCCAGGAAAAGCTACACATTGAAACCCTGTCTCAAAACCAAACCAAACCAAACAAACAAACAACAACAACAAACAAACCTGCATGGGGCTGGGAGCCGTTGTCTAAGTAAGGTCTTCCACCTCTTATGCAGATAGCCACCAGTTTGCAACCCCTAAACAGTCCCAGGGAGCTCAAGGTTCAGTCCCTCCAGCAGGGACCATCTCAGTTACATCCTTGGATTGACTTTTCCTGGACGTCCCCAACTCCTGTCCTTTGTAGCTATCTCCCCAAATAAACCACCAGCACCAAATAATTTATGTCAAGCTGGGCCCAGGTGGCACACACTTTTAATCCCAGCACTTGAGATACAGAAGTTGGTACATCTGAGAGTAGAAAAAGCCTAGCCTTGGCTACACGAGGGAGTTCGGGGCAGCCGTGAACACACACACACACACACACACACACACACACACACACGCACGCACGCACGCACGCGTGCGCGCACACGAACGCACGCGCGCACACACACACACACACACACACACACACACGCACATGCACACGCACACATTGCTTTTCTAGGGGACTGGGAAGATGACGGTTTGCTGAAGTGCTTACCATGTCAGCCTGAGACCTACTTGAGTTCTTCTATCTCCAGGATCCAAGTTAAAAAAACAGGGTGGGGCAGCATCCAACTGTGTGAGGTAGTGGGCCAGAGAGGAGGCTCCCAGGGCTGCGCTGGCTGGACAGACAGGCAGTCTAGCCAAATGGCAAGCTCCAGGTTCAATGAGAGATCCTGTCTTAAAAATAACAGAA